CTTCGAGGGCCAGTATGTCACAGGTTTAGCTACTGTGATTCCTTGCGATCTTGCTACAGCACGAAAAATGCAAAAACGCATAGTCGCACCGGCCCGCCTGGTGCGTTCCAGCCTGGGTATCTCATTTTGATGCTACTGGTATGTCCAATACGATGCGCGTATTCTACTTCGTTTATGGCATTAAGATTCACTATGGTGAAAAACAGACGACCTATCGAAGTAGAAGTAGTCTCACCCGTCGAGCTTTCTTCAATGAAATTTTCGTCCATGGTTCTATAAAATCTGTTTCGGAAAGCCTGAATGGACGTTTGAAGCAACCATCTGGATAATCATCATAATTATCAGCAACATCATCGTCCGCCAAGAAATCGTCAGAAATATCATCACCACCATCATCGAACATTTCCATCACATCGACAATTCGAGACTTTCTCGCATGCGAATTCAGCTTACCCGTTTTTGACCGGGCAGCCTTTTGCTGCCTTCTAGCGTGAGCTGTTTTTCTGCAACAAAATGATTTTAATAAAATTATTTTCGGCCCAAAAGGTCAAAAGGCTTGGCACAGGTGCACCGAGCACAAAGAAGCATCCCACAAAATAATAATTACTTGGGCGAACTTGAATTCCTAGCACAGTGGGAATAAATTTTCTTTCTACGATAACCAAGCGTGATCTGAGGTTCGCGCTATCACCATACAGGCTATTATTAAACGTCGACTTGGTTCGGCAGCCACTGTGAAACGCCCCCAGCTTTTCCGCTAACATTATTTCGCAGCGGTCACTCGCCGGCGTCGCTTGGCGCTTTGCGAAATGGCGCTGGGTAGCGCTACCCAAGCGATGCTGCAAAATCATATCAGCAGAGAAGCTACAGCGTCTTTCAACAGCGGCCGAGCCGAGTACCGACTAAGTTTCAGAAGCTCGTTACTACTCAAAAATTCACGCCTTCTAATAACTGCCGGTCAGTTTTAATCCTTAATGATAAATTTGGTATTGATCAGAAAGCATCACAGAGCTTGATTTTGAGGAGTCAAGTGGTTTTCAGGAATTCCCTGGAAGAAAAAGAGCCGTGATAAAATATGTTCATCATTATCTCTCACTTGTCAGAACCTACAACACTCACTTGTCGCATTTATGTCGGATCCTGTTGTCGAAGACTGTCGTTGCTGTTTCATAGAGAATGTGAATTCCTGTATCCACTGGTGCAGATGCATCTGGAGTTAAGAAATCACCCTGTACCCCGTGATGTCTTCTCGATTTTTTCGATGGCTTCGGCGACCTAAAAAGTAACGGCATGGTGAACAAAACTCTTTTAACGATTCCGAGTACCGTGGCTGATCAATATTCCATCGCCAATCACTTTTTACGGTCTTTAGTTCTAAATTTGCTTCCTTAATCACCCTCTTCTTCCCTCTAGCGCCGTCTCTCTTTTCCAATATTTTCTTATTCTGCACTCTTTGTTTCTTTTTAATTCAAGCCTTTCCAATGATGAAGTCCAGTGCGTGCAATTAAGACGTACACAGTTTAATGGGCCGAAACGTCTTATCTTGGCAATTTTAATTTTGTTGCCACCTCTTCCTTATTGCCTTTTCTTAAACAAAGCAGTTGTTATACATAACTCGAAATGTAACGTCGAAACACAAAAATTTTTTTTGATTTTTTTTTTGGCGAAAATCACGAACCCACCTCATTAGATCATATTTATTGGCTTGTTT